TTGACCCAGCATGCGCATGCCGGAAGCAGTCTTGTTAAGACGGCGCCGCCAAAGGTTGAAAAGTCTTGATCTGCGGACTTCCCAGCCGGCACCGAGCACAAAGACCAAAAAAGCTTGTTGCCAATCATCTGACGCCATGTGGGAGAAAAGAACTTCACTTTCAAAGAGAGACTTAACATCACAATGTTGTTGTGCTGGTCTCTGGCTGCCTGCGTGCTTCTTCTCGGCTTCTACCAATCGAAAGTTATTGTTTCATTTTTTTTCTAAGCTGACATTCTGGACAAATTTAAAAATGGTCCCCACGTCTGCAGCATCCTGCCACGAAATATCCTGCAGTGAGCTGGGAAAGTTTCCAGCGGTATCCTGACGTCAAAGAAAATGGCATGGGTGCATGTGTCAAGCACCTTACCTGAAGTGGCGCTTTGAAGGTCTACTGCAGTATCGCAACAGAGCTCAAAGTTGTTGCAAACTGTGATGCATATGTAATGTACGTTCCAACTTACATTTACATGCTAAAACTAAAAACTAAACTGAAGTCAAACCTCAACCTAAAACTTACATACGAACAAAATTGTTCACCATGTCTCCCATTTGCGGCAAACAGAACCACTTGGCTGCATGGGTTCGACACATGTGAACAATCTTGCTCCAACCAAAAGCTCTGCAGCAGCCCTGCATTGATTGCTGGAACAAAGCAGGAGCTTCAATACTTACAGTGCAGCCTGTAACCACAAGCAAAACAAAGCAAAAATCCAGTCTTCTTGTTCGGCAAGGGCAATCTGTGGTTCTGGGTGGCTATCCTTGAGGTTGGCCGAGCATGCTGAGCAACGCCAAGCAAACACAAAGTCAAGTGCCTGTTGGCATTCGTGCCAGCAAGAGGAGTGTTTCGAAGGCACTGCAAATGGTGGATTCTGTCCAATGTCACTTCAACATGCATGCCAGGCAATGGAGTGGGCACTCCACTGGAGAGGATGATTTGCTGAAACGTGCGGGCCAGTGCAGCACGCACTGGAGAGTGGATGTTGGCCAACATCCCACTGGGGGGTGGATGATGGGCCAACATCTGGGCCAACATCCACTCTGGAGGGTGGATCCACACTGGAGTGGATGTTGGGCCAACATCCACACTGAGGGTGGATGTTGGGCTAACATCACACTGGAGGGGTGGATGTTGGTCCAACAGGGGTGGATGTTGGGGCAATATCCAGGCTGCAACGAATTGAGCTTTCTGAGAGTGTGCTTCCAGTCCGCCACAAGCTCCCATTCTTTGGTTCTGTTTCTGGAAAAGCGGCCACAAGGAGCACGGAAAAAACAATCCAAATGACGGCAAGTGCCCCCGCCCTTTCTTGACCACCAGCCTCCAGAATGTGCATGCTTTTGGAAACATTCTCGACTGTTCTCTGTACATTACTATCACGCAACCTGCAGCTTTTCTGCGCGATGACCGCTGCATGAACACTTCTGGATGTCAGCAACCGTTTGATGTTGCTTCTTTCTTATCAGTTCAACCTTTCTTCGCACAATGAAATTATCGCTGGTTCCGTGTCCGTTCTCACTTTCTTCTCAGACAACATCAATGCTCTGCAACTTCTTCAATAAAGTACTTCATCGCTTCCTCACTTGCTGCTGCAATTCTTTGACTCCGAAGCCTTCAGCGACTTCTTAGAGAGCATCGAAGTGCCTGATGACCGGTCAGAGAAGGACGAGCAGCCAAGCAGCATCAATCATTAATCCCCGGGACTGGAATCCAGGTAATTGGCAGGGGATGTTCTTCTGCCCGCCATTGCCATCTTTCCTGGTGGAAGAATGCCAACATGCCAGACCATCGTTGGACTGCTACGGTGGTGCCGACCATGGCCATGCCAGAGGAAAGGTGAGCCAAGCGAGCACGACTGGACAAGCAAGATCCACAGGAACCGGGACCGCCTTACACCCGACCGCAGCTGTCATCGACTCGCATCGACGACAGAACATCATGCTGTTAGGGCCCAACTTCCACCCCTCCAGTGTGGATGTTGGCCCAACTTCCACCCCTCCATGACGTGGCCATCATGCCAACCCAAAGCATGTCGGTCTTGCTGTGTTGCTGGTGTTTGTGCGCCACATGTCCACCAGCTTCATGGTGGGTCCGAATCGTGGAAAGGGCGGGAAATCAGTTGTGTGGGGCTTCAATTCCCCAAGAAGGGCATGGAGCATGCCTTTCTCAGCTCCATCACACTTGGCTTGGATGGTGGCTGCACCTGGAGAAAATACTTCATGTCTGTGGTCTTTCATGCAGTGGGCAGACTGCAACTGTAGGTCATCGAAGCTAGAAGCTGTTTTGCGGGCCTAAAAGTCGTCCGACAGTCCACTGAGAAGGAGCTGGCATCTGCGTGAGAGTCACATTACTTGCCTTTGGACTGAAGGGCATTGGCCTTGTCGTCTGTGATGACACTTACACTTTAGAGATGTTCGCTGATGCTGATTGGTCGGAAAAGCGATCGAGAAGAAAGAGCACCAGTGCAGGATGCATTGCCTTTGACGGCATGGTTGTTCACACGTTTTCAAGAAGCCAAAGCTGCGTAAGCCTAAGCAGTGGTTGAAAGTGAACATTGCATGCGTGAGCGCAACATCTTCCTTCGTAGTGCTCTTTAACACATCTTACGCACCAATGTGTCCATGCATTTGTTCGACAGGGATGTGGACGTGTTGGTCACATTTCTGGTTGCCTGTTATGGCTACAGGACTTATTCAATGGAAGAAAGCATCGCTCCACGCGGTGTCGATCTTGACAATCCAGCTGACTTGTTTACAAAGTCTTTTGTCAGGGACCCGTATCCGCACTTTGAGCCACATCCTTAGGATCCGTGATTCGCATGACGGATTTTCTCTTGTTGGAACGACTAAGTTTGAGGAGCAGCAGCGCCGTGAGCAGGCAAAGAAGTTTCTTCGTGCTGTGAGGAGCACAGGTCATGGAAATGCCGAGACGTCGTAATTGCTTGCATTGTTGGTCCAGGTCATGGGCAACAAGGCTACGGATGTTGAAGTGCGAGCACAGTTTGTGCCTGACTCGCCAGTGTCAACTGACGAGGATTCGAGCCCGTGGATCAGCTTTGTCTTTGTCGTCGTCGCAACAGTGTGCATCGTTCCTGCTTGGCCGTGCCAGTGTCAACTTGAATTTTGCATCCCTTTTGGAGTGGTTTAGGTTTGAAGCAACAGAGGCTCAGCAGCCATTGCTAGCCGAAGCACCTGCTCTTGCAGAAAACCTTGATGTGCTTTCTGATGATAGCCATGAACGTCTTGGTTTACATTTTACAGCATGACTCACCGCGAACTCGTGCAGAGATCCTCGGTCGGCCACCGCCTGTGACACCGAGTGAATCTGAACTTGAATCTGAGCAGCCAGACTCAGAGCCGGTTGGTGACGCCGCAGCTCTAGATGTTCCAGCTATTCCTGTGATTCCAGCTGGTCAGACAGCTAACTGCGTTGCTGCAGGATGATGACATCCTTCGGGTGAGGGAAGATGCTGATGTATGGACTGCCCCAAGAAGTGGAATTCGCTTTCATCTTCTTGGTGAGTGCGATGGTCTTAGAAGGGCCCGACAGGTTCGTAGACTGACGTATGGCCAGCTGCAGTTTGAGTTCCCTGGTCAGTATGACATGTGTTACTTGTGCCAGTTGTGGACTCGAGAGCTTGCGCGTCGCCAGGACATTGCACGATTGGCCACCATGTACCACATTCTGCATGTGCACGGCCAACAACTGCCAAATCCCATGCTTCAGATCCTTCCAGAGCCCGAGCCGCATGATGATACGTAAATGAGCCCAATCACGATGACCCGCATCTTTTCGTTGCATGTGTGTTTTAATGAAGCAGAATTAGATAGACGCAATTTCTTGAAATGCTAATGATGTCTCTTGTGGATGCAGTCGCTGGCTGGTACCACTGTACCTGAGCTTGTGTGCAAATTTTCTTGAATTGCAGTGGAGTAAACTCAAATCTCTAAGAGATTGGCAAATTCTGCATGTGGCCGGTAACCTCTCCTTTGCGCATCACAGCCGTGTGATGTTGAAAGTTTTTGCAGCTTGCGGAGCTGGCAAGCAAACCCACTTGGAGCCATGAGCTCACAAGGTGCCCAAAGGTCAAAGGTTAGGAGGTGCCTGTAGGCCTGTACAAAGCCCACCAAAATGTTTGCCTCCCGGGAGCGCGGTACGTCCGCCCTCGGCAGTAAAGGACAAACTGAGTGTTGCATTGCACTTGCTGATGTGAGGCTTGTTGGCTGTTTCGCTCTGGGCATGTATAGCAGTAGCTCCCACCGAATCGTTCTGAATGCCTGCTTTGCGTAGCACGGCAAATCATCCTTTGGCGGGGTGATCACGATTTCGATGTCATGCATGGGGACACTCAACCATGTATTTTCCTTGCGAAGATGTTATGTGGTGGGATAGTTTGTTTGCCCAGAAGCTTTACAGTCATGTCTCATGTCATGTGCCGACGCAGCTGTGCTCGTGAGTCTCAAAAGTTTTCACATTATGCCCCCTAAATGTCTGATGATGCAGACGGCGAGGCTGTGAAGCTTCTTGACATAAGTCCGGCATGCCAAGGAATATGTACAAGTTTCAACAGAAAGAAGCTCGCACGCACTTCTAAAGCCTGCGTGGCAAGTCGGGACGGCTTTGGGTCTCAACCTTCTTGCGATCCTCGGCGTTGCGGCCCGCAGGACATCTGAAACACAACAAAGCTGCCCATGTCAATGTCCCATTTACGGCACCTTGCATATTTCGATTCCTTATGACCGGCCTCAAGAAAACCCGAATGAGTGAATTTTCTCGGGGTTCCTGTCGCACCACAACAGCTTGTTATTTGGGATTATTTACGGGCTACTCAGTATAATTTTTTGGATTATATGAGGTATATATAAGGGTTATATAGGAGAACAAGATTCAGGGTCCCTTGTCGGGGTCTCTCCTTATACCCCTTAATCTTAAATGCGACAAAAAGCTTAGAAGCCCTGGACCCATGGCTTCTGAATCGCTGGCGGCGGGGCCTTCCAAGCCGCATGCCGAGGCTTTTGGCTGGGCAGGTTTCGGGGTTTAGGGGCTACCAACAACCGCAAACCCAAGCCGCTCTAGCCGTCTAACCCTCTAACCCTCGAACGCTATCACCCTATAGCCCTCTAACCGTCTAACCCTAGAACTCTACGGCATATACAACCAACCTTATAGCCCTATACTCTTTTCACCCTACCACCCATCACCCTGTCACCCTATCACCCCCCTGGATGAACAATGTTTTCCCACAACCTTTTAGCCCCAAAACCCGAGTACCCGACCCTCATAGCCCTAAATCCCTGCAACCTTGCAACCTGTAAGCCGGTACACTTGAAACCCACACCTTGCACTGCTCAGAGAGAGGCGAGGTGTGCTGACCAACTCGAAAGTGGGGATGTGCCCAGCGACTTGCAGGATCGCACGGGGCTTCAGCTTAGGGCTTAGGGCTTTGCGGGCTTTGATTCTTTCGATGATGTTAGGGTTGCAGGGCTATAAGGGTTCAGGCCTAAAAGGATATGGATTTTTAGGGATATTTGATCCCAGAAATTGTAGGCTTGCATTCCTTACAACAGGATCCATCAGCATGCAAACCCTAATTTCGAATGTGTTCGAATAGCTCCCAAACCCTACAGGACCTTGGGCTTGCGCCTTGATGTTGAGGACCCCGAAATCCTTTGTACATTACACCCTGAGCCCTCAGGTTTGTTTGGGGTTCAGGATCAAAGGATTTGGGGGTGTGTGGTTTGTGGGATTCGGGTTGGCTTGGTCAAGTTTAGTCTTCTACAGGTGTGGTGTAAGTTTCTCTGAATTCGGCTTGAAGCTTCGAGGTTTTTATTAAGTAGAGCTGCATTGCTTTCCTTAGTGCACTCTGTGCTTGCTGACGCAAAATTTTCAGAAGCGCTTTGAGAGGTTCTTTCCCGAAGCCCTGCAAACCCGAAAGCCTCTGGGCACTAGACCTGATTCCCAACCGTACGTCCTACATCGAAAGCAGCACAGCGCCAGACCTGGCAGCTCAGCGCCGCTCGCGTGCCGCGAGCGCAGCTCAAGGAGGTTGCGGACCCAGGATTGAGGGGGGTTCAGATTTTGGGGCTCAGGGGTTGGGAGGTTTGGGGGTTGATTTATCTGGGACAGTGTTTTGGGGTCCAGGTGAGACATGGAGTTTGGGAGTTTAGGCTGGTTTCGAGGCTTTTTTGGGGTTCAGGGGTTCGAGATGAACCGGAAGAACCAGTCAAAGTCGTCGAATTACGTCGACTTCTGCTTGAATCGGAAAGGGCCCAAATGCACCCCGCATGACATGTGCCGTCAGAGTCACAGACCCCAACTCATCCGAAGAGTGCGCTTGCGAACGTCACGCCAAGTAGTGCCGAAACCAAAAGTTTCTCCTTATCGAGCTTGGCGGAACAGGCCCTGGAGGCTGCGGAGACACCACGGTGGCAGCTGCTAGGCTGCCCGACTGTGGAGTCTGAGAACACAAACCCGCCTGACGGGGTTCCGGGTTTATGACTCCGGGAAGCTTCGGCTTCCTACACCTGAAAACTCTGAAGCCCTTTGCGCACAATCCCACCCGCGAGGGGGTGAGCGTGCTCTGGACGCCGAGCTCCGGCGATGGCAGCCCTCCTCCGACCAGGCCGGGAGAGAGGAGCCCTTAAACAAACGGCTGGGGTTGTGGTTTTAGGGATTTCAGCGTTGACTGTAGGGTGTACAGGTTTCAAGGTGTAGAGTTTAAGTTTTCAAGGGCTGTCTCATCCTGCGCAGCAAAAGCCCAAGACCTTGCGACTCCACTAGCAAGAGCCTCTGAGCAGGAGCCGCGGCTGGAAGGTCTTTGGAGGTCACGTGATGGGTCGCGTGGGGGGGGTTTAAGCTTTCTAGGGGGCGTAGGGTTCCGGGTTCCTGAGCCCCAAATTAAAAAAACCACTGACCAGACAGGCCACACGACACTGCCATGAACCAGCCTACATAAGCCTTTGGGTCGATGTTAGGGCGTCAAAGGGTTTAGGGGTCGAGGGTGTCATTTAGTTTGGGCTTGTGGGCTTCGCGGGTTTAGGGTGAGAGGTTCGGACGGAGGTTCAGGGTGCAACAGTCCTGGAATGTCTGGTTAGGCCATGGGGGCGTGTTGTGTTTTTGAATGCTGTTGTTGTTTGTGCTTTTCGTGGTGGCAGAATTTTTCATCCATTTCAGCCCAAGCCCAAAACCTAAACTGGAAAAGGGGCACACCTTGCCGTAGGATGCGCTTCTGGACCAGTCTCCGAGCATGCTGTGTGTGCTGTCTTTCGGCATCTTGTGTTGTTGCAAGATTGCATCCTTTTGAGAATAGACCCCGATTTCAGAAGACAATGCGTGCGCAGTTTGATTCGAGGCCGGATGGCGAGCTCTCTATGCCGTGTGGCGGTGAAGCAAGCTTCTTCGGAGCCGACGAGGTCAAGCGGCCTCTGCTTCGGTGAAGTGTTAAGCCTGTTAAGCTCTTGAAGCAGTGAAGAACCTTAGGTGTAGAGCTGGGCACTAGCACGGTTGTTGTGGGGCCTGGTATAGGTTTAGAGTTGAAGAGGCCTCAGGGCGTTGTGTTTTATCAGCTTTCGTGCGAAGCTACCGCCAGAATACCTTTTGCAAACTCCAGAGCCCTGAAAGGCAGTCCAAGAGGTACTTCTGCTTCGACACGAGCTTCAAACAGCACCTGGGCTGGTTCTTTTGTTGGGAAACTATGGTGTAGTGCGGTACGTTGCAAGCAGCGCGCTGCAACTTATCATGTCTTTGTTGCGTGTATTGGTACTGTTTGGGTCATGATTTGTTTACGCGGTGTTTCGGGTTTAGCTTTCTGCATGCGTGTCAGCTTCCTCCTTTGCTGAGTGCAGTACTTTCAGTGCCCTCAAGGAGGTGTTGAGAACAACCAGCCGAGCCCAGCATCGTAAGGCTCTTTTTTTAGCAAAGGCCCCTCAACCCTGAACCCCTACCTTTAAAAGCCTTTAAAAGCAATGCTGTCTCCCAAAGCCTTTATCTCTGAAAGCCTCAGCCTTCGCTTCACATCTCCGACAAGAGACTGGCCTCTTCAAGAGAAGTTGAGAGCAGTTCACAAGCTTTGACTCTTACTCCTCATTTTTGTCTGGGATGTGGGGGGTAACTGCAAGAAACGCCTAGCACCTCTTCAAGGTCGTGTTTACATGGGTTCGACGGTTCTAGTAGACAAGGTCCCCATGTCTAAACCCTTTACCAGTACCTAGAAATGCGCGCGGACCCAAAAACCGGAGCACGCACGGCTTGCCCAAAGCAAACCCTAAACCCGAAGCCCCAGACCCTGCACCCTAAACCCCAAAGCTTCAACCCTAAATCCCAAACCCGAAGCCCTAAACCTCAAATCTCAAATCTGAAATTCCAAACGCTAAGCCTCTCACTTTATATGCCCTGTAAACTCCGAACCTGCCGAGGCCAGGGGCGAGGTGCGTCGCCTTTGGGCGCAGCTGGCCGCCCGCGACGGCCGCGTCGCGCGCCTCGAAGCAGAGCTCCCTGCCTTGCAGGTCAAGATTTAGGGTCTAGAGTTTGGGGTTTAGGGTTTAGGGTTTGGGGTTAAGGGTTTAGGGTCTAGGGTCTTGGGTTTAGGTGTTCCTTTCTCCGCGTTTTACGTTTGCTGTCCTTGTTTAAGTTTTGTTAGTTTTTTTGCTACAAGGGGTAGGGCTCAAGCTATCGGCACCTTCTGTCATGGAGCCCTTTTTCAACGCGGCCACCCTTAGAGGGATACGACAGTGGACATAAATGCTCTAGGGCTCTACATTTTGCTCATTCCTGGGTGGCTTGGTGTGAAAGGCTTTTGCTATGCCTCTAAACCCTAAACCCGAAGCCCCAAAAGAGTTCGAAGCGTTTTTAACGGCCAAGATTCTTCCCCGAAGACCTGGACCGTCCAGCCTGGACCCAACCCTGTAAAGGCAGTCTGGTGAGATGTGAGGAGCACATATGGGGTTGTTCAACAAAATTTCTTCCTGCCGCAATACGGGGCCCCCAAAGCCTTCTGTTTGCCTGCAGTGGAAAAGAAGCCGAGCAGAAGCCCAAATTTCCACTTAGTCCCTAAACCCTGTAAACTTTTAACCTTCACCCGAAAGCCTCAAGCCTAGGACCTGAAAAGCCTCCAACCCGAAATTCTCAACCTGCCGGGGTGCTTCGGCTGAGGTTGGCGTGATGGCCCCAGCTTTGTTGCGTTTGCGGCGTCCGTTTAGGGGGCTTTGGGGGGTTTTGGGGTTTTGGTTTTGGTGCCTTGGCATCTAGGCCTATGACTTTGCTTGGGAACCGTGCTTGTTCTTGCTGTTTGTGTGGGCACGGGATGGAGCTTGCCAGGAGCTTCGATCAAGGTGGATGTGCCTAGAAACAGTTCTGAGGTGCTGGGGTTTGCCAGCGCCAGAGAGCGACTTTGAGTAAAGGACTGTGGCCACTAAATCCCAATCCATAGCTAAACCCTGACCCCATTCCATCCCGAGGCACATCTTCAGGTTCATTTTCAAGGACCACCGCGAAATCTTCAGGTTTATTCCCTAGTTAATAAGCGCTGCGTCCCTGCACTTGAGAAGGCGAGGCGTTTGGTACAAAGCCGCGGACCTCAACATCCAACAGTCCTTCAACCCCGATATCTCCAACCTTAATCCCCTGACCTGACCCTTCACACCCAAAACCCTGTACCCTTCGGGCCGTCTATGTACGAAGACAACGCAAAGACATGTATGCATCTATGTTTTTATATGTACACACACACACATATACACATGTCTTTATCATCTTTGTGTATGTATATATATATATATGTATATATATATATGCATATATATATATATACATGCAGCCCGGAGTTTGGATTTTTGGGCTCTGCGTGTAGCTCGCTTTTCTTGACTCAGGCCTGCTCTTTAAGTTTTTTGGTCAAGTAGTGTTTTATGCGTTTTGGGCTTTGGGGTCTATGGTTGCAAGGCAGCCCTCGGCACTTGCAGGTCTTTGGGTTTTGGGGCCTAGGGCTTCGAATAAGGCTTTGAGGGCCCATGCCCGAGAGCTTCAGCCGCAAAAGCCTTGAAGCCTTGAACTCCTATGACCCCAAACCCTAGCTCGCGCAGGTTCAGGGTTCAGGGGTGAGAGGAGAGGAGCTGTTAAGGACATGGGGGGGCCTTCGGGGTGTCCTGAAGGCCCATAACCCTAAACCTGAAAGTCCGAACCCCCAAAAGGCCAGGCTTTCGAGGCAGCTTGTTCTTTTGGTTTGAATGAGGCGAGTTGCACAATGCCCTCTTTGCGGAAGCCAGCCGTCTGTTCCGCAATCAGCAATAGGTTGTGGGATAGAGGGGGAGGGAGGGGGAAAGGGGTCGGGAGGTGGGTGGAGGTTGTACAAGCGTAGATGGTTTCATCTGAGTTCAGGGACAACCACATCTCGTAAAGGGCCAATTAGCGGTGAGCCTGACAATATGATAGGCTAGGGCTTCTAGTGATATTTTCAATCAGCCACGGTCTTCGCCTGACCTTGCAGCGTTGGCCTTGCTTTGGCGCTCGGTTTTGGGGTTTTGGCTTCGGGCTGTAGTTGTTTCGTTTCAGGGTTTAGGGTTCAGGGTTAAGTGCCAGGGTTCAAGAATAAGGACAGAGCTGGCTGCGTGAGCGCTGCCCTGCGGTGACCTCAGCTTGCGCTGCCTGGGGGATTTGCTCGAGGTTCAGGGACCCCTAACCGCTCCGCCCTAAGGAATGCAGGAGTCATACTAGGAACTAGGAACCCTTCATGAAGGAAGCTCGGGGGCCAGATTGGGAAGCGGGACTTGGGGAGGGTTTCAGACTGCTGGAGGCCTGCGCCGCCTGGGCCACCTGCATACTTGGCCGAGAATTTAGGGTTTAGGGTTTAAAGTTTAGGGTTTAGGGGCCTATCCACTTTCCGATTTGGGAAAAAAGCTAACCCGTTCACACACTTGAAGTGTGTGCGTCTGCCCAAAGAGGCAGTGTTCTAACCTCGCAGCCGCAGGAGTGTATGGTGGGTTGGGATGAAGAAGGGTACAGGAGTTAATGATGTCTTAGTGTATTGGTTCTTGGAACTTGGTTTAGGCTGCAAGGTGGTCTTCTAAGCGTGAAGTTTGCAGAGGCGATCGGCCGGTATCTTGATTTGTGTGTGTGTGTGTGTGCACTTTCGCGAAGCTCTTGCATACACGGCTGCGCACGCAACAGCCGCTGGGCCTGAGGCCCAATGCCAGCAGAAAAGGCGGTCAATGGCGCTCAGGGTTTAGGGTTAGGGTTTCCGGTACAAGCTGTCAGGGGCTCGTGGGCTGGGATTCAGGGTTTTGGTTGTGGTCATGTCAAGCGACAGCAGTGGCAGCAATGCATCTTGGTATTCGATGCGTCGCAAGATGACCTGTGGTCACTGTTACCCGAGGCGTTGCAGTATCCTGCAGCTTTTGAGCTAAAATAGATCGTGTTTGAATGTAGACTTTCCGGCACTATCTGATCCTTGGAAGCACATTTTGCACGCTTAAAGAATGGCCTGCAGCATCTTCAACATTTCCACGCGAACTTCTCGCACCCAAGCCTAAGCCGATGGCGCACTTCATCCCAAACCGTCCATGGCCCAAAACTCTTGAGAGCCCTAAACCCTACCCCTCGGCATATTTCTGTCACAATAACAAGAGTAGCAAGATTACAACGAAGATAATCAGACTCGCGCGTCGCCATGCGAGCGTGGCTTCTCCTTGGCCAGAAGCCATGTGGGCAGCGAAGGCTTCGCCCCCTTGTCAGTTAGGTTTGGCTTCGGGCTGAGGGTTCCAAGGATGGTCAGATGTCTGAATTATCATCTGGTCTTTGGGTCCCGGTGGTTTTGCTCCCCCCTGTCTTGTTTTTCGGGCACCTCACGAGGGACCGCGAGGTTGGAGAGTTGATAAGTGCATGGAGTTGTGCCTAGACCTCAAAGCAACGAACCTGAAAACCGCAAAGCCCCGAAGCGTGCTTGGAAGCCTAGCCCCAAACGCCCAAAACCTTGAACCCGTGGTTTAGGACTTTTGCTCAACGTGTAGTGCGCGTAAGAGAACCAAGCCAGGCACCTTGCCAAGCACTGAAGCCGCAAGCCCCAAAGCCATCACGACCATGCTGGAGGAGGAAGAGGCTGGCCCACCGGTCCCACTTCTTGAGCCCGGAAACCCAGTGAGATAAGGGTTTAGGGTTTAGGGTTTAGGGTTTAGGGTCTAGGGCCTGACAAGTCAACATCTGGGACGGTAGGATTCCGTTGGCCACATTATGCTGTGCTGCCGTCCGCGGCCATAATCGCAGCCGAAAGCCGGCATCTGTCAAGTGAGCAACTGCACGGTTTTTACAGGGAGCCGCCTGTTCTTAGCAAGGGAAGGATTGAATAACAAAAGTTCGTACTATTGATGATTCCCTCTTTCGACCATGAGAAGATAAGAGTAGTACTTAGTTGCATAGGGGGGCACCGGCGAGTTGAAGCGAAGCTGCGCGATGCGTGGCGGTGCTGATCTCTGAGTCGAGCCGAGGCTCCCCCAGCCGACTGACACGTTGGAGGCCGAGGTCTGGGCAAACAAAGGGCACTCATTTTTTGCAAGAGGTTTAGGGTTTAGGGTTTAGGGTTCCGGGTTTAGGGTTTAGGGCAAAGGCCTACAGCTTTCCAGGTTTCGGGTTGGGGGTTCAGGGCTGATATGGGAGCTTGGAGTTTAGGGTTTTGGGGTTTAGGATCTTGGGGTTGTGAGGGCGCAGGGTACGGTGCGCTTCTTTAGTTTTAATGGCATCTATCTACCTTATTTCACGCCCTAGATCATATAGAACCCTGTAAAAACTCAAGCTCCGAACACAGCCATCACCTGGCGATGGATTCTCAGCCGCGATGAGCACTCACCAAAGACCTCGTCATGTCTTCGGTTCAGGGCAGTGGCTCCAGGGCTTACCGTTTCAGGGTCGGCCTGGTTTGTAGGGGGTTGCCGCTTATTTGGGGGTTTCCTGACGCAGCAGTTCAAGAAAGCCCCCCTTGATCACCGCGTGATAGATCCCCGAGGGCCCTTTGCAGCATCTTCGCTGAAGCTTCACACGGGCGCCCAGGGCGAGCTCAAGAACTTGCCCTTAGACCCCGGCAGTCCTACAAGCTTTACCCTAACAGCCTTCCGATAGTCCACGACAGGTCCTAGATATGCTACATATGAACCCGACATCTCAAAAGAGATGCAGGCACCCGTCATGAGGATGCCCAAAACAGGGGACCAGGGCCCCTCGCTAGGGTCGGAAAGCAGGGTTTAGGGTTTAGGGCTACCCAGAGTAGTCTATATATTCTACACACTTAAACCAAAAGGAATGTCCCTTCATTTTTTTGGCTATGCGTTACCCTTTTTGCAAGCTGCTCTAGGTAGGGCTGAGGGTTGAGGGTCGAGGGTCGAGGGTTCAGGGTTCAGGGTTCAGGGGGTTCAGGGTTCAGGGTCCACCGCACCTTGCCTCAGGCCTTCTACGAGCTGCAGCTGCCAAAGCCGGGGGGTGGCCAGAGGAGGCGATGGCTTCAACTCCAAGCTTTTGGGGTTTCGGAGGGTGCGGTTTGAGGGATGGTGGAGGCTTTGAGAGCTTGTGCTTCCTGCACTCTAGCAGAATGCCCATTCCGTGGCCCAGTCCCGACCCCAGATATCAACCACCTCTATGTTTACCTTTCACCCCGAACCCTGGACCTCAAAACCCAACCCCCCCAAGCCAATTCCCTTCTGCCAGGGCCCGCTTCATTCCCAAAGCGGTGACGGAAGAGGCGCTGGAAGCGTGTATGGGTCTGCACTCCAGTTTCTGACAACGCTAAAAGTCCAAGGCTTAATGGGCTCAAACCACTCCTGACCCAAACTTCTACCTGCGTTGGATCCGTTCCCAGTCAAAGGGGGGAAGTCTTGAAAGTAGAATGCCATGGCTCGGGAAGGGCGCTTCCGCGTCGCAGTGGGGGGCTTTCAGCATGAGACCAACGTGTTCTCCACGTCGAAGGCATCCTATGATGACTTCCTGCTTCATGACGGCTGGCCAGGTCTGACTCGTGGAGGCCACCTCTTCGAAACCATGTGTCCCATCAATCTGCCCATCGGGGGCTTCATTAACGCGGGGACACACGAGTCCCGTGCCGGCGACTTTCACCTGGAGCCACTGCTGTGGTGTTCTGCGGAGCCGTGTGCTCACGTCGAAACTGTGGCGTATGACAAGATTTCTGGAATGCTATGTGAAGATCTCGAGTCCTTGATGGGCGGTGGCCTCGACGGTGTCTATCTCGATCTACATGGGGCCATGGTAACGGAAGATTTTGATGATGGCGAGGCCGAGCTACTGCGACGAATCCGCCGTGTGATCGGCTATGAAGTACTTTTGGTCGTGTCGCTGGACTGGCATGCGAATCTCAGCGAAGAGGCGTTCAATTTGGCGGATGCTATTACCATTTTCCGCACATACCCGCACATTGACATGGCAGAAACTGGCGAACGATGTTTCGCTCTACTCGAACATATGCTCACGACTAGAACAAAGTTACACAAAACATGGCGCAAAGTGCCATACCTCATTCCACTCACGGCACAGTATAGCGAGGCTGAGCCTGCGCGGTCGCTTTGTGCAGAAGTCGTTGCTGCAGCCAGTCGCGACGGAATGCTTAGCGCCGACTTTGCTCCTGGTTTCCCAGCATCGGACGGACACTCGTGCCATCCGAGCATTGTCTGCTTCGCCAAGAGCTCAGAGAAAGCAACAGAAGCGGCGGACTATCTGCTGTCCAAGGTGTTGCAGGCGGAAAAAGACTGGACCAACGACCTTTTGCTGCCCGAAGCAGCTATCGAGACTGCATTGAGCATGGACGGCCAGGGAAAGCCTGTAGTGGTGGCCGACGTGCAAGACAACACAGGCGCAGGGGCAACCTCGGACACCGTCGTGCTTCTGGAGTGCATGGTCCGTCTCCGCGCTCCAGGCGCGGTTGCCCTCATTTGCGACGCTGCCGCCGTGCGCGCTGCGGAGAAGGCCGGGGAGGGCAGAATTGTTCGCCTGCGACTGGGCGGGTCACTCCCCGGCCACCGGCCACTGGACGCAGACTTCATCGTGGAGCGGATCACGCCCGGGCGCTTCGCGTGCACAGGCGCGATGATGCGGGGCACCGAGGCAGACCTGGACGGCACTGTGCTGTTGCGAGTGCAACAGGAGGGCGGAGGGGGGCCACGTGTGGTCGTGAGCGGCCGCAAGTTCCAGTGTCTCGACCAGGCGGTCTTCACGCACGTGGGCATCGAACCTGTCAAGGAGAGGATTCTGGTGGTCAAGAGCTCGGTGCACTTCCACGCAGACTTCGACCCCCTGGCGGCGGCGGTGCTGCTGGCTGAGGCGCCGGGCGAGAGTGTGTGCCGGAACGAGCGCTTGCCCTTGGCCAAACTGGCGCCGGACACGCGGCTGAGCCCGCTCGGCCCGACGTTTGCGCAGTGGCAGCAAGATGGCGGGGGAGCAGAATTGCAAGTGTCGGTGGGAAGTGAAGGACGATGATTGACATCTTCGGGCCGTTGGGTTTTCCATTGCTCCCGCACAATTTTGCTTCAGCCTTGCGTGGGCTGTTATTGACGGTTTTGGGCAAGGGGGAAGTCAGGGTGTTGGCCGGGGTAGAACAGCATCCTATAAGGTAGGTCTACACTTCTCAGTCCAAGCACAGCTTTGGACACGATTTCCAGTGACAAATGAACTGATGTAAGTTTAGGCAACAACCCCCAAGGCTCTAGGCACTGTCGCCTGAATATGCCCCTCACTTCCCCGCCGTGATGTTGTTTCCGGGTGAAAGGCAGTGCAAGGGTTTGGCTGTCAGGAGTCAGAGGCCATCCTCGGGGAGGCGCGGAATTGAGAGAGTGTGTGTGTGTGTGTGTGTGTGTGTGTGTGTGTCAAGCTGTCCTGATGCCAGTCGCGGTAAACGAGTGGGTTTAGGGTTTAGGGTTTAGGGTTTAGGGCTTACGGGGTTTAGGGTTTCCGGTTCATAGGGTTTATAGGGTGGGTTCATAGGCTTTATAGGGTTTATGGGGTTTACAGGGTTTATAGGGTTTGCAGGGTTTGTAGAGGGATTACGGTTCAGGAGGCCCCGCCTTTTCTTCAGTGCCGGGCCAAATTGCGTCTTCCGTCTTCGCTGCAGGCCAAGCAGGTGTGGGAGGCGCAGAGCTCGAAACGAGGCTGGTGAAGTGGGGTCGACACCTCGTAGAACCTTGTGAGTCAGACGTAAAAGCTACCCAAATACCCGACTTGCTGCACCGAATTCTCGATACTCTGTGAGATCGACACTTGAAACATGCTCCTGTACAAACCACTTCCAATGCGCAAACTTGGGGGTACGCTGTACCCAAGACACCCCTCCAATTCGAAAGACCCTTCTATTGACCAAACTGGTGACCCCTGAACCCTAAACCCTTAACCCTAAACCCAAAACCCTGAACCCTGAACCCTAAACCCTAAACTCTAAACCGTCTAAACCCCAACCGCAAGGGAGCTCGGTACCTGGCCCGGCTTCGCTGCAGCTTCTACGGCAGGGGACCCTGGTGAGGTTCAGGTCTCGGGCCTTGAGAGGGGTTTAGGGTTTAGGTTTTAGGGTTAGGGTCTGGGGTTTAGGGCATTTAGGGTTTAGGGTTTAGGGTGTAGGGTTTAGGGTTTCGGGTTGAGGGTTGCAAGGTTTGTGGCTTTGACTGCTGAACCCCTGTCCTTCGCGAACCCCCAAATCCCTGACTCCGAACCCTCTACGCCCGAAGCCCCCTAACCCTAAACCCTACATGAACCCCTATCGACCAGAACTCGTAGAGGGATACAAGGGTTCTCGAAGTTCAGGGTAGCTTGGTGCTCGCCGGCGGAAGGTGTGGTGAGTACCTGCAGCCGTCGCTGGAAGGGCTGCTGAAGCCCCTGGTGCAAAGAAGGAGCCTCAGTTGCGTCTAGATCCCGCGGTTTTTGGTTGAGTAGTATTTCTTTTGGGGGGATTTCTGGGCTTTGGGTCTAGTAAACCTTTTCCCCTTCCGCTTATGGATAGCTTTAGGATGCAGGGTCTAGCCCGAAGACCTGTGAATCAAAGTGAATCAAAGCTGGCTCGGGGGATTTTGGCAGGGAGTAATGTTGGACCTTCTCCTGCGGCGGTGAAGTCAAAGCATTCCGGCTTGTTCCGCATCACTCACTTGGGGAGTTTACGAAACTAAGGGACCTTAATTTCTACCCCCAAATAGTAGAATCCCTTATAATCGCGACCCTAATAAGGTACCCCCCAATTTCGGAAACCCTCCGACTTGTTCTGAAGAGTCCTCTCTTCTGTTCTTTTGGGAGTGTGTTTCTCGGGTTTCCAAATCTCAGGCTCAGGCTTCACCCATCTTGTCCAGTGGTGCAACCAACATGTAGCACACCATACATCCCTGAACTCCAAAAGGCTCGGTTACTTCTTACAAGGCTGGTTCTAACTTGCTTCTCAGGCACCTGCTACTTCTTACAAGGAGATTAGTTTAGAACAACCTTTCCTACGTGACGTGTGGAGCCGAGCCAGATTGCCACGAGGGGACTCAGGCTTTCAAGGATTCCAAGTTGGGATGTTCCCCCTCTACACGCAGTCCTTAAGAGAAACTACAGTACCCCCCATGTCCCTACTAAGGACTGTGAGTATGAGGGGGAGCATCCCAAATTCCAATCCAGCTCCATGCATGAGGCTGCTGCCTCAGCTGCTTCGCTTGGTCCCCAGCGCGGCACCAAGTGGTGCCAGCATCACGCGCGGGCCCCAAATGGGTTCAGGGTCCCCAGTACTGCGCGAATATTTGAGTTTGCGGCTTTGCCTTGGTGAAGCGGCTGCTGTACAAGACTTGTGCGGTAAGATGTCGCAATCTACATTTAGTTTTTTGACTGGCATCTTGCCCTGAATTTGAGGCAGCTGCAGATACGGTGCCTGTAGATGATGTCAGTCGTGACAAAGTCCTGCGTACCTATGATCCTCCCCACAAAGCCAACCTCAACCAAACATAATCCCCCCAAACCCCTCGAAACCCCTCGGCGCATGGCAGCCCCGGAAAGATTCAGGCGTTAGGGCAAATGACCTTGAGGCTTTAGGCCATGTGTGCTCTGTAGTTCTACTTGTAGACTTTGAGCTTAGGGAGCTTAGGCCTGTTGACGTTCAGCAGATGCCAGTGTTCTTGCTTGGCTTATTCTTCCCACGTTCTGTGTGCCAGGTGGGTCAAGGAGGACCGGAGCTCAGTTCTGAGTGCGTGCGCCGTGGGTCAGGGGCTGCCGAAACACCAAACAACTTTGGGCTGTTGGTTGGTGGGTTTGGGCGTCCGCTGTGGAGCAGGGAAGAGTCTTTCTGGTGTTTTAGATTGATTCTCCCCCCCAAAAAAAGGACGGCAAGAATGCCCTAGCGTTGTGGCCATTTACACATTGAAGGGTCCGAGTATGAATGTTTTGACCAAATCACTATTAGTACGGCCCCCAGTAGCGTATGAAGTTGTGTGATTGACCTGTGCATGTTCTACAGTGACTGTGGAAGTTGAAGCATGTATTTCGGGCCGGGGCAAAGAAAAGCCGAAGCAGCCGTAGTCGGGTTTGCTGCTGGACACTCGTAGTCGTGCGCGTGCAAAAACATACCTATGTGGACGATGTACAAGCGAATGAAGTCTTGGTGTTGTACAAGTCGAGAGAGAGTCTAGAGTTTCTGATCCATAGATCCATAAAGACGCAGGACTCCAGGACCAATCTGTTGTGTGTACAAAGCGTTCGAATAGTTGCAGTATCTGCGAAGGCCACGTTGAATTTCGCAGTTTGTGCAATGCCATGAGTTCACCTAGAATTCTGGACCCTAAACCAATTGTAACGTTGCAAACTGCAGTGATGTTTGTCATATGTCTATGAAGCTCTTAACCTTTTTTTAGAAGACGAGCGCATGAACAACTCAGAATACAATTGATGCTTTTGTGCTTGTTTTTTAGTACTGCTATTATTTAGACATGGAGTTGCTGATGATGTGGGATTGAAAGGTTGCGTGTTTGATATATGTATCCATGTGTGTCTGTATATACTGCTTGTCAAAGTCGGGGTACGTGTTTGAGCAAAATGCTTGGGATTTTTAGAGTTAATTGCATAGGAGAGACGACTGTAAGAACATTCATGGCCGATGTAAAGGCTTTTGACTTGTCGGCTCCTAGAGTCTTGTCAGTGTATTCATTTTTTTGACAAAACAGTTTCTCAAGCACTGTGTCAAGTGTGTTGAGACCCAGAGAACACTCGCGTAGCTTCGATGAGCTAGGGTTTTTGTCGGGGGCTCTTGAGGCGCTTGAGGGGTCAAAACATCTGGATTTCAGGCCTGAGACATTCGAGTGGTAAAAACATCTGTCTCTGACGCCTGGGACCCGCACGGGGTGGTAACATCTGGCTCTTAAGGCTCGGTCCTCGGGGGCTCAAAAAACATCTGGCTCTTAACTTGAGTGGCTAACCTGAGTGGCTTACTTGTGTGGCCAGACATCCGACCAGGCTTTCCTCAATAAATCACAGGTTGAGGGATCCAGTTAGTCTTCGGACCATGCAAAGCACCATGAACCAGTTCGAATATTTGGCCCAGCTACTTGGTCAAAGTCAGGCGACGTGGAACTTGAAGGAAACTTCAGTTTGCACTTAGGGTTTAGGGTTTGGGGTTTAGGCCTGAGGCATATCGTGCGCTGCGCTTTGGGGCTGTGGGAGGGGCTTTACTAGTAAGGTGGATGACCTGGCCGGACGCGCCGATTGCGTGGCGGACCATGACAGCTTCGCTACGGCCCCCACGCTGCAAAAATTGCACGGGTAACGCTTGTTTTGTATGGGCTCCTTGTTTCAAATACGGCTAAAGCGCATAATCAGTTAAGTAGACGACGTAGTTGCCACGCATATCCCAACTTACATGTCGTAGAAACGTGGATAGTAACGAGCTATCTAGGCATACGGGGCTCGAATATTGTTGACCAGCCCCTGTATGCAGTCAGTGCCGTGCATCGCTCGGAAGTATCTGGTGCCATCGGGCATGCCCAGTCCAAGTCCTGGCCAGAACATTGGCTGTCAGGGTTTCAGGTTCAGGGTTTGGGGTGTAGGGGTTAGGGTCGGCGGGACATCTGGAGTTGTGCCATTGGCTCTTGGCCTTGGCAATGGATGGAAGCGGAATGACTTGTTCTATGTTGCTACTCTTATCCCCGGACCTGCTTCCCACAAACGGCAGGGCACCTGACAGCCACCAGGTTGTGTTAGGGTATTGGGGCTTTTGAGCTTATGGGGCTGATAGGGCACGCAAAGGGGGCTTCTAGGGTTTGAGGTCCTGTAAAGTTTTTTAAGTTCGGAAGTTCAGCCCCTACTCCCTAAATCCTGAACCTTTCCTTCCCGTCCAGGTTTGGCTCCGCCTTGATAGCAGCCGTGGAGGCCAGGGTCTTGCATCAGACCAAGAAGCTACGGGGGTTGGGGGTACGCTGTTGTCGGGTTCCCGCAAAAATGGATTGAAAGTCTCGTGTTGAATACTTTGAAGTGATAGG